TCCTATAAATTGCCGCACAAATATTGCATTACCATTGGATTTTTAGGTACCAATGAAGCAAAGCTAGTTCTAAAAAAATATAGATAGAAGCTGGCACAACAACATACAATACGGTTGTTAGTATATTCCCATTTTACCCTTTTGACCCTCTTACATATCATCATTGCACTTGAAATGCATAAAGAAATCCAAAAAGCTACTTAATATCAGAGAAGTGGGAAATAGATCGATTGATCGTGATGCATTTTGTGAGCCAAGTCAGTCATTTCCTCATGAGATTAATGGGGTATATATAATTTATCATGTAATAACCAGGTAGAGACAGATCTAATTAAAACAAATCCTGAAGATGTGTGTCCCAAATACCCAAGGAGGATCGAAGAAGACTCAAAGAATATGAAGGACGGCTTATGAAGTATCTTGCCAACCAGTCAACTGTTAACCTGTATTCTTTAGCTGAGCATCATCAACACCAATGCTGGGGATTATTATTGCATCCATTGACACGAATTCTGGTAATTACTATTACTGCCACTGACAACAAAGAGGGTTTCTTTTTACCTCTCACTTACTGGTGGGTTGAGATATGCTGCACTAGATGACTAGGTGTGCCCAGGTGCTGATTGAAAACCTTCAAGCTCATAGAGCAGCGGTCACTAAATGGTGGACCACAGTCCGGAACCGGACCAAGGGACACTCCCGTCCGGACCGCAGCCATGCCACCGCCGGGTGCCCTTTCCCGGGCCCCTCCCACTTATCCAACGATGCCATCCCCACAGCGGGCGGGGTGTGAGGAGCTGCAGATCGGGACCAAGGGGTTGGAGCTGCCCAAGTCATGTAAATAAGCGGGCAACCACCCAGCCCACCAACATGAACAGACTGCCACCCCCCCCCGCCTCGAGCCACAGAAAGCGTAAGTCCCCACACACCAACAAGCTGGGCAATCACCAGCTCCACCCCACACCCCCAGCAGCCGGGTGGGAGGCCAAGAAGAGGACACCTAGCAGCAGTAGTGGCACGGCCATGGTCCAAACAGGACCACCCCTCGGTGGGCAGGGCATGAGGAGCTGCAGATCGGGACCGAGGGGCAGGAGCCAGCGACCACCCAGCCAGTCAACGTGCAAAGACCTCCATTCTCTGCAGCTCGGGACAGAAAGCAGGAGCCCCCCACACCAGCAAGCCAGGCAATTGCCCATCTGCCAACACAACAATCTAGGCAGCTCCTGCCCCCCACACCCTGCTCACCATGAGGACAACACAGGTGGTGGGCCAGAGGCCCAGGGGAGGACACCCCAGATGGATTAGTGTCTCTGCCCTGGCAAAGGTACCATAGGACTGTACAGGGGAAGGCTTGCATTAAAAGGGGCTCTGTGTTTTGTTAAAAGGCACTGTGTGTTTTTAGGGGCACTGAGTTGTGTTAGGGGCACTGTCTTATGTTAGGGGCACTTATGTTAGGAGTGCTGTGGTGTTAGGGGCGCTTTGTTGTGTTAGGTGTGCTGTGTGTTTTATGGGTGCTGTGTTATGTTAGAGGCGCTGTGTTGTGTTAAAGGGTGCTGTGTTAGGGGTGCTGTGTGTTTTAGGGGTGCTGTGTTGTGTTAGGGGCACTGTGTTGTGTTAGGAGGTGCTGTGTTGTGTTGTGTTAGAGGAACTGTGTTGTCTTGTGTTAGGGTTGCTGTGTTGTGTTAGGAGACGCTGTGTTTTGTTAAGGGGCACTATGATATAAAGGGGGGCAGTGATTTGAAGGGGAAAAGAGGACACTGTGGGACTTCTTTAAAGAGGGGACTGTGATGTAGAGGGGACTAGAGTGTGAAAGGTACGCTAAAGATCATAATGTACCAGGAGACTGTGATGTGTTATATCGCTATTGAGATTCAGACCTCTGCTGGAAGGAAATTTTGCTGACTGGACTTCCGTAAATTTTAATTCAAGACCCCTGTCATAGAGGAACTTTTGCAATAAACATCAAAATCAGCCCTGACCATGTTCTTTCTCAAACTAGTCTGAAGATCTTCATTGTCATCCCTGTATTTCAAGTGTTGTAAAAAAAAGGCGCAGTGTTTATATCCCTTTAGAGGTAGAAAGTCCTAGAAAGTATCTCTGCAAAAATTAAATTCCTGTTCACGAAATAACTCAAATCTGACTTCCGACTCTTTAAAGACTTCTGATAAAAGTAGTCAGCCAATCATACAATCATAACAAAGGACATATGGGGATGTTCTGTACATGGACAGTGTTCATAACACCCCAGTCTTCCATATTGCTAGGAAGCAACTTATGATATTTTTGGCAGAAATTCACAGTAGCTGCAAAAATTGCAACACAAGGCACTTTTTAATTTGATGTTACTAAAAAAATAAGTTTCCATTGTAATTACATGTTGTGCCAGTTTTTAAGCAAAAGTGTTGTTTTCCTTTGATGTCCTTAACTGTTTAGAAAATCCAAAAGTGTTGACTGGGTAATCATGGAATTTTGGAACTTTAGTACTGATACAAAGATCCACTGACATTCTGCTTTACATAATACTTAACATCTGCATATTATATCTTTACTATTTCCAATCTATAAAAAGATCACATAATATAGTAAATGATTTTAGCAGCATCCTCACTATCATTCGAAAGGACATGTACCCAAAATAGGTCTCTAAACAACATTCAGTTAATGGCCAAAGATATATTTAGATATCCCTTGTTTTCCATTTATAAAGGTCAGGTTAAATCCCAATGTCTCTGCTTACCTAGATGTAATTAAGCAATGATGATGACATTTTTTTTTCAACCTTTTGTGTGCTGCCATTTAACTCAGGAATACATACAGTGAGCTGCTCGTCTCCAGTGACTGGGAGCAAAGAACATTGTGCCTTTATTACAGTTGGTAATTGTTGAATCAAATCTAAGGCTTCATTCAGATGGGCGCTGGCACCTGTCCTGCACACAGGCTGCATAGACACAGTCATGTCAATATTTGACAGCCATGCAGCAGTGGCTACACAGCTCCAAACACAGATAGTGTTGTCAATGTTTGACATGTAGCTGTGTCCATGCAGCTACCAAATTCACTTCTATTGGCTGCCTGCATGCAGGACAGGCAACTGCGCCCTTCTGAATGAAACCAAAGATAGTGTATTTGTTGCTTGGCTGCTATATTGACCCAGTGGCTTCAGTAATTTCTAAATCACTGACCTGAAACATGGATGATTATCAGGAAAGTCAAAGAAAAGTTAAAAATCCCTAGCTGCAGACATGTTCTATGTATTCAGCCAGCCAGCATTTTTCAAATGAGAAGTTAGCATTGACAGCCTTTATGTATCTGTGTACTGAGAAACATATGTACAATATGCTGCTATTGCTGATATTTCCTCCTACAAATGCAGGTTACCTGGCTATCCTGCTACTCCAGAGGCTTCATTACTTTAAATAATACTGACCCAGAATATAAATAGAGATTTCACTTTCAGAGTTGATGATTTAGAAAACATTAAATCTATAGATAATTAGGAAAGTAGCCTGTTCAGCAAGAGATCAGCAATGGCAAAATCCATATTTTTTCCTCAGCAAATGTTTCCTTTAGCCCAAAATTAAAAACAAAAACCACAAGGACCCAGCAAGTATGACATTGCAATTAATCTACTGCCAAAAGGGGACGAAAGGGACAGGAAAACAAGTAAAATTTGCTTATCCATGTATATGATCTAAGATTGATCAGCCATGTATAGGCCATTCCACACACGCTTCTTGAATATAAATTTCCAAAATGTAGAAGTTTTGGATTTACAGTGAACTTCCAAAATGGAAATACATTCATACATGGGCAATAGATGTGCTTATTGTAGTATGCCTGACTTGGGAAAATACTGCAGGTGTTAAAGTGAAGTCTGGGCTAGAACTAAAACAAAGCTTAAATCTGCTTCCACCCACCTTCTAACTACTATACCAACTACTCCATAGAAGGAAGATGGTTTTACCTACCTATTCTCAGACCGCTCTGGTCTGGCCATGTGATCGATTCTCAGAAGCTGGTTTCAAGGGAGAGGAGGGACAGCTGACAAAAGATGTAGGTGACTTCACTGCTCAGGCATTGTCAGCGCTCTCACCTCTCTCCTGAACCCAGAAAACATAAGAAAACAATGTTCTTAGGCAATATTTCATATCTACCTGCCTAAATATTATATAGAGTAGTAAGTAGCAGAGGGGATTGTTAACCACTTGCCTACCAGGCACTTATACCCCCTTCCTTACCAGGCCAATTTTCAGCTTTCAGCGCTGCTGCACTTTGATTGACAATTGCGCGGTCATGCAACATTGTACCCATATGAAATTTTGATCATTTTTTTCTCACAAATAGAGCTTTCTTTTGGTGGTATTTAATCGCCACTGGGCACTTTACTTTTTGCGCTATAAATTAAAAAAGTGCAAAAAATTTGAAAAAAAAAAAAAAGTTTCTTTGTTTCTATTATAAAATTTTTTAAAACAGGTATTTTTTCTCCTTCACTGATGTGCGTTGATGAGGCAGCACTGATGGGCACTGATAGGCAGCACTAAAGGGCACTGATAGGCAGTACTAATGAGGTGGCACGGATAGGCGGCACTGATAGGCAGCACTAATGAGGTGTCACGGATAGGCGGCACTAATATGCAGCACTGATAGGCGGCACTGATAGGTGACACTGATGATGGGTACTGATAGATGGCACTGACTGGCATCACTGCTGGGCACTGACTGGCGGCACTGACTGGCACAACCGCTGGGCACTGACTGGTGGCACTGACTGGCAGCACTGCTGGGCTGCACTGGTGGGTGGCACTGCTGGGCAGCACTGGTGGGTGGGCACAGGTGGGTGGCACTGGTGGGCACAGGTGGGTGGCACTGGTGGGCACAGGTGGGTGGGCACAGGTGGGTGGCACTTCTGGGCACAGGTGTGTGACATTGCAGAGTGGCACAGGTGGGTGCACAGGGGGGTGGGTGCACTGCTGGGCACAGGTGGGCGGAGCTAGTGGGCGCACTGCTGGGCACAGGTGGGCGGAACTTGTGGGTGGCACTGCTGGGCACCGATCATCAGGGCACTGATCATCAGTGGCCCTGATGATCGGTGCCGATCCCCGCTCTGACAACTGCCGGTTCTCGGCAGTACTTTCCTCACGATCTGACAGCGTGAGGAAAGTGCAGCCGAGAACCGGCACTTGCATTTCCCTGTGATCAGCGTGTCATTGGACACCGCTGATCACGTGGTAAAAGGCCGGTATGATCGGCCTTTTACCACATCTCGTGATCAGCTGTGTCCGTAGGACACAACGATCACGGAGATCGCCGGGTGATGGGGCGCGCAGGAGAGCGCGTTCTGGGGGGACGTCATATGACGTCCACCCAGAACTGGCCGGCCGCAGTGAAGCCGTCATTCGGCTATCTGCGGTCGGCAACTAGTTAATTAGTTTCAGCAACTTTGGTGTTAATGAAATTAACAACAGGTGCGCTAGATGGGCAACAATGAGACGCCCCCAAAACAGGAATGGTTTTACAGGTGGAAGCCACTGACATTTTGTTTCCCTGTTCATCTTTTCTGACTGTTTTTCACTAGTTTTCCATTTGGCTAGAGTCAGTGCCACTACTGGTAGCATGAGGCAATACCTGGGTCCTACAGAGGTTGCACAGGCAGTCCTACTCCTGCAGGATGGCACATCAATATGTACCATTGCCAGATCAGACTAAAACTGATGCCCTCAGAATCTGGGGCAGCTGTGCATGGTAGACAATCAGCTTCTAACCCCAGCTTGTTCAATTAAACTTTGACAAAAAACCTGGAAGCGTATTGGTTTCTATGCTGAGCTGCACCAGATTTTGCATGCTCCAGTTTTAGTAAATAACCCCCTATGTTTAATGTTACACCCTAAACATTGTCGCTTTAATATTGAATGAGCAGAACTGTGTCTTACTCCCCTCACTCCCCACTAGCGCTCTTCTGGCTATTTGTCCATTATGCTGTAAAAGTGTGAATTTAACTGCATTCAAAGTATTTTAAATGTAAATTACATTTATTCATACAGTATGTGCCTAGTAACAGCACTGCTCTCTGCATTTTTAAAAATATTGTGCATACTACATTTATGTCCATTAAGCATGCCTATTGAAATAAATGGTAATTTAGCACATTCTACATGAGTGTTGGTATTTTTAAAACATCTGCATCATTAAAGTTCCTTATTTCTGAATGTTTTTCCATCACTTTGCATACTAATAGAAGAAAAACGTGCATATAAAACATGAGCTGTAAGGACACAGTCATGAAGGTGGCAGGTGGAACCATAGTGTGTTATGGGGGATACAGACATCACCTGAAAGCATTGGATGCTGAAAGTTATATAGTTAGTCTGGCTGAAAAAAGAAAAAAGTCCATCTAATTCAACCATAAAAAAAGGGTAAAATCAGGGGTGGACTGACCATTTGGAAACTTGGGCACTGCCTGAGGGCCCGAGGTCAGTAGGGGGCCCCATCAGATGCTCCTGGTACCTTTTTCGTAGGCTTTTTTGAGTTTGGGCAAGGACACAGGGGCCCCATGATCCCCTATTGCCCGGGGGCCCCATGAGTTGTCAGTCCGCCCCTGGGTATAATCCTATACCCACAGTTGATCCAGAGGAAGGCAAAAAAAACCCAGCAAAGCATGATCCAATTTGCTCCTGCAAGGGAAAAAAAATTCCTTCCTGATCCACCGAGAGGCAATCAGATATTCCCTGTATCAACTTTACCTATAAATATTAGTATCCATTTATATCTGTGTATCTAGGAAAGAATCCAGGCTTTTTTTAAAGCAATCTACTGAGCTGGCCAGAACCAACACTTGAGGGAGTCTATTCCACATTTTCACAGCTCTCACTGTGAAGAAACCTTTCTGTATTTGGAGATTAAATTTATTTTCCTTCAGACATAGAGTGCCCCCTTGTCCTCTATGATGACCTCAGGGTGAATAGCTCTACACTGAGTTCACTATATGAACCACTGATGTATTTATACATGTTGATCATAATCCCCCCTTAATCTCCTCTTCTCAAGAGAGAATTATTATTATTATACAGGATTTACTGTATATAGTGCCAACAGTTTACACAGATAAATGAAGGTTAACATTACAGTTACAATAGAATTTGGTACAAGAGGAAACAGAGGGTCATGCTCATTAGAGTTTACAATCTAGTAGAATAATATAAATTCCTCCAATCTTTCCTCATAGCTGATCTCCTCCATGCCTCTTATCAGTTTAGTTGCCCTTCTCTGTACTTTCTCCAGTTCCCCAATGTTCTTTTTGTGAATAGGTGCCCAAAACTGAACTGCATATTCCAGATGAGGTGTTACTAATGATTTGTACAGGGGTAATATGATATCTCTCTCTCTGGAGTCTATACCACTTTTAATACAAGAGAGGATTTTGCTCACTTTAGAAACCCGCAGCTTGGCATTGCATGCCGTTATTAAAGTATTACTAAACCCAGGAACCTGCATTCACTGTATCTGGTCTTCCACAGTACACAGAACATGGACGTGCAATTATTTTACTAAATATCAACTGCTAAATACCTTTCTCATCAGCAGTATATAACATTCTTGTGACTTCAGCTGGGCACTGGTTAAAGCTTGTAGGAGGAGTTTTCTTTCTACTCTAGGAGGATGCAGAACCCCTGACCTCTGTCTGGGCAGTGCTAATTGGTCCTGTGCTGATCACATGCACTCTCCCAAGAAAAAAAAAACCTCTCTAACAATACACACTAAACTGAGCATATGCAGAAGGACTACGGGTTCAGTCTGTCTTATCAGTGTGGACATTTAAACAAGAGGGGCAGAGAAGTCAGGATCAAACAGCCATTTGACACAATGCAGAGGATTAACCCCTTAGGTTCCAGTGAGTATAACAATCATGCTTCACTGCATACACAGACTGATTTTACTGTTGTGGGTTTAGTAACACTTGAAGCTTATGATATACCAGAACTCCCAGATCCTTCTCCACCATTGATTATCCCAGTTGTACCCCCCTTAGTATGTAGGATGCATGCATATTCTTAGCCCCCAAGTGCATAACCTTACATTTATCAACATAAGGCTCTACAAAAGAGGATCACAGCTAATGGGACTTTTATCACTATCTTTACAGGCTTTTTTTTATTTTTTTAGCAACAAAGTCAGTTTAAGGTAAATATTACAATACCAGCTCAACATATATGCTCACTGAATATCCACTAACAGCTTCCCTTCAGAGAGACTCTATCAGCCTCTTGCGGTTGACAGTCTCTCCTGCAGCAGGCAGTTTAACCCCCTGGTTGGCATTCCCGAGTGTAGCTCGGGGTTAAGTTTCAGTACCAGAAGCGGTAACCCTGAGTTACACTGCTGAGTTGCTCTGGGATCCCTGGATCACTTACCTTGTCCCACGGTCCCACGCTGTCCTCCCGCTGCGTCCTCAGCCATGTCCTCTGGCCGATGCCGGCATCCGTCTTTTTTGTTCCATTCCCTGCGAGCGTTGGGACGTACAGGGGGTGGAACCGGTGAGAGATTAAAAAATGTCAAAATTTTACATACACGTAATACACTAAAATCTGATAGTATTACATTACTGTATGAAACCATTTCACATATATTTTGTCCCGAGTGCTTTGTCCTGTGCCCTGCCTGCATTTGTACCGTTCTTTCTGCCTGGAAATTTAAGAACGTCCATGGCATCCAAAAAGCGTCCCTTTAGGTCAATAGCAGTTTTAGACCAGCTAGAGAACAGCAATAGTAAATTAGAACCACTTGCAGAATTGAATGCTAATGATTCATGGGGAAATTTGTCATCAGACACTGAAAACGATTCTGCGATTCTCAGTGATGTGCAAACTTGGCGCTCTATTTCAAATTTCAGTGTTTTTGGTTTGATTGTTGGGGATGCAACAGCATGTACTATATACAGTATTGTGTGTTAATATCACTTGACCAGTAGATGGCACTGTACACTAAGGTTACCAGTTGTGCATATCTGTAAAACTTGTTGGTTCATTTTCTCTTCTCTCTCTCTTTATAACCAAGATGTCTGCCGTTACAGTTTGCTGAAATGTTTTGTATGTTTGCAACTTAAGCCACACAAGTAAACCAAGTTCTGCCTCATCACAAGCTACTAGTGTCTTCTCTAACACATAACCAACAGGTTATGGGCCCAGCTTGAGACACTGGAAAAAGGAAAACTACAATCAAGTAAGTGCTGCATTTACAATCCTACCAAATCCTGTGTGAGGAAACAAGAGCTGTATCCAATTCACTGAAAGATGGCAAGTGCTTCAGATATGAAGTTTACAATAGCAAAGCTCAACAATACCAACTACCAGCTATGAAAGTTTAAGCTTGAAATGCTGTTATCCAAAGATGACTTGTGGCAGGTACTAGATACACAGACCCAATGACAACCCGGAAGAATGGGACAGAAAAAACAGGCAAGCAAAAGCAGTCATAAGCCTGTTAGTGGAGGACGATCAACTCATTCATATAAGGAAAGAAAACACAGCTAAAGGTATGTGGACTGCATTACAAAAACTGCATGAACGTGCAAACCTAAACAGTGAACTATATCTGCTGCACAAACTGTATAAGATGAGGCTGGAAAAAGGGCAGGAAATGGGTGAACATGTAAATGCTATGCTAGAAATTGTGGACCAGCTGGGTGCAATAGGTGAAGAAATGAAAGACAATCATTAGTAGCACTACTGCTATGCAGCCTTCCAGAATCATACAGTGCCCTTATAAATGCTCTAGAAACTAGACCAGAAACTGAACTGACGCTAGAATATGTTAAGGGAAAATTAGTTGATGAATACAGCAGAAGAAAGGAAAATTTGCATAGTGAAGAGAACGAAAGACCAGGGGCAGCTCTGAAGGTGCATGAAGGCATAAGACAAAGCAAAGAAACCAGGGTATATTTTCGCTGCAAAAAGGCCAGTCACCTGAAAAAGAACTGTTCAATCTGCAAAGCTGAGCAGCGAAAGCGGGAGCTACGCACAAGAGAGAGCTAAAGC